GCCAGAGGGATGGCTGCAGAGGCTGAGCCGAGGCTGCCCCTGGGGCAGCGTGGGCTCAGGGCACGCCTGGATCCTGGCCCAGCTAAGGATGGGGACACTGAGCCTCTGGCCCCCTGCACCCCCTAAGCCATGGGTGTGAGCCCCCCTCGCAAGACAGGATGCTCCCACTGGGATTTGAGTAGCAGAAGGGAAATCGCTTTGTTCTGGGAATGTGCGAAAAATCCCAAGTTACCCAGAGTATTAATTGGTTAATATTCATGATTAAGCCATGAAGAAGCCAAGGGGGGGGCCAAGCTCAATGCTTCTTGCCCACTGTGTCCCCAGGGCCTCCTCCTGTGGGCGCACTGGAACTCCAGAACACAGGGGTGCCCCGGGGGGGTTTGTCACAGGTCACCCCGGTGAGGCGGCGGAAACAGCCGGGCCAGTGATGGTGACGATGCCCCAGCCCATGGTGCCAGGCGTGCCGGGCCACGGGTGCTGGCCAGCCCTGGGCCCTCGCCGGCCAGGCATGGGGATGGCTATTTATAGCCCCAGCACAGGACACGCATGCCATGCAGGGGCTTCTATAAAAAGCAAATCTCTGAAAAGGTCTTAGAGCAGATGCTGGTGCGAGGTCTCCATGCTGAGGCCTGGAAACATCCCAGCTCAAGCCGCATTGATTCACCCAGGTCCTGCTGCACACCCAGCAAGCCAAGCCACCCCACTGGGGAGGGGATGAGGCTTCTCTGGGGAAAGCAGCATCTGCCCATCGCCAAGAGCCCTCAAACCCATCAGGGGGTCTCCTTGGCCCAGCAGAGCTGGAGCTGGCTGGATGGCTCCCAACTCCCCTCCCAAGCAAGGATAAAGACACCCAGGAAACCGGCACCCTCCTGGCAGTGCAGCACTGGCAGAAGTGCAGACAACACCAGCCAACACGTTCATTCCACAGACGACAGGGTGTACATTGGCATGGGTTCATTGCCTCCCCAGCTCCTGCTGCCTCTGAAGCCCAGAACGCCCAGCGCATCCCCATCGGGCTCCTGGAGAGCCCGATTCTGGGGTAGGAGTTGCACCCCAGAGCCACAGCAGGTTCTGGTGGCCAACCCAGCCCAGCAACACCAGGGTGGAAGTGCAGCGGTGTTTCAGCTCCCCACTCACCCCCGTAAATATATATATTTGGGGGGTACCCGGTGCCACCCTGCACACTGTGGCAGGACAAGTGTGACAGCGGCAGCCTGCAGGAGACAAGGGACGAGAAGGATGCTGCTGCATCCCCATGACCGCCCCTGTCCAGGGGCTGCAAGAGCCCAGCCTCACCCATGGTCTCTGGGGCAGATGATCGGCAGGGCCGGCTCAGCGCAGACGCAGCCACACCAGCGCCTTATGTTGTGCCCAGGAGAGGTGCTGTGCGATGGCAGCCCCACTGCAGAGGGCATGGCCCAACCCAGCTGCAGCAGGAACAGAGGCACAGCCCAGGCTGGTAGATCCGACATGGAAGACGTTTCTCTGGAGCTGTGAGCGGACCTGACCCAGACTCACTGCTCCCTTGCTCCACAACAGCATCTCTGAGGGGGGCTGCAGGGCAGGCAGAGGTGAGACACGCTGACAGCCCACAAAGGACTTGCTGCAAGGCTGTTTACAAACACAAGTAGATAATGTTTATTTTTAAGTTTCCAATTTATTACAAGTACAGCCCTTAGCAGAAACCCCCTCCCCCCCAATGACATTTATTTTTAAAAAACATACAGTTCCAAAGGTTTCACCATGTGGGACCTGCAGAAAATGTTCTCTATGAACAGGACAAAACAAAGCCTCTGAGGGGGATGTGCGAAATACAAATGTCAGTGCCGTTCTGGGGGGCTGAGGCTAGGGAGAAGGAAGTGGCTGGGACCCTACTGAGGCTCTGCAGCCACTGACAGTCCAGAACTGAGACCAATACCTGGGTGTTAAAAATCAACAAAACAAAACTAAAAAGTTCACCAACTGGGAAGCAGTTTTGAATCGATGATTCTTTCCTTCTCAAGTCACAAGAGCTGCAACAGCTGCTTTTGCTTTAATGATACAAAACCAGCACAGAGCCCTGGGGCTGCTCTGTTCCAAATTGAAGACTTCCATAATAAAAAGTTCAAGCCCTGACTCTGTGATCAAAACCTGTCATGATCGAGGGGGAGAGGTGAT